ATGTTTGCTTTTGGTTTTTTTGTCAAAGAAAAATCAGAGCTCCCCCTGTCTCCTGCAGCTCCCCCTGCAGCCACAACTCCTGTCCCAAGAATGGGGGGGGGGGCATGAGAGGGTGTGGGTATAAGAGGGTGTGGGGTTTGTTGAGAATTTGTAGGTGTGGGGTTTGTAGGGAGAGTTTGAGGGAGGCTGCTACACACCCACCCCGCCACCCCCATGTGATACACAGCCTCAGGTGCTGGCAGCAGCAGCCAGCTAGGCTGTTGGGGCACTCATGGCCCACTGCAGGCACAGCCCCATGTCAGTGCAGCACTGCCTGAGACCTGGGGGCTGCACATGGCAAAGGGAGCCGGCCCAGCCCAGTGGTGCACACCTTCAGACAGGACTGGGATGGTTCTTGCCATGACCCGGGGCTCCTGGCACTGCATGCAGCAGACCATGAGTGCCCTGGAAGCCTGGCTAGCTACTGCTGCCAGTCTCAGGGTCTGTCCACTGTGGGGAGGTAAGGAGAGGGTAGCAGACTCATGGTGCCCCTCCCCCCCTGCAAATGTCACACCCATACACCCACCCACAACCCCCCCGCCACCCAGAAACCCCACAGTGCCCCCACCCCTATGCCCCTGCTTACCGGGGACAGAGCCTGGGTCTGAGCTGGTGCTGCCAGCCTTGCCCTGCTTCTATTTGCCCCAGCACAATGAGGCAGCATGCTGGAGCAGCAGGGACACACAGCAGGCATAGAGATGCTCTGGCTGGGTGCTAAAGCATCTCCTTGGAGGACTCAGCCTCTGGTCACCTGCGGGCATGCTCCAGGAGCACACCCTGCACTGCTTTTTTCCTGGGTGTTTTCTTTTGATTTCCTGGTATCAAATTTAGACCCCATGCTGCAAAAATGCAGTGTGGGGAACATAGTTTCATTTATAGCATGCCTCCCACGGTGCCTCAAACTGCTTTTGGACACCACAACAGGGACATGCTCCCTCATCTGGATGTGGCCTAAGGTGAAAATCTGTCCTGATTTCTGCCAGATATAATGTGAACAGGGATTCTGGTGTATGGGAGTGAATGGAGAGGCAGTGAAGTGCCTGAACAGCACTCCCGTGAGGCTCAGCAGCAGCTCAGGTGGCCCAAGTTAATTATGATTTTGGCCAAAATTAAACGTTTCAACATTTCTGCTTCAAAGCTTTATGGAACTTTCCATTCCTTTAAAAATGCCAATGTTTCAACTTTGTGTCCTGACCTGGGATGAAAATGAGCACCAGTGTATTGGAATCTCCTGCGGGATGGACACATTTTTAAAGAACTCTAGTGAAAATGGAGGCATAGGGGAAAGGTACCAGTTGGATGAATGTTTTGGGCAAAGGATAACAAAACTGGGCTGTGGTTCCTCTGAAGCCACATGAGTAGTTTTAACTGCAGCTATTGGCTTGGAATCCTGTTGGTAGCAGCAGTGCAGAGAGCATGGGAAGCTCTGGGGGCTGCTGGAAAGGACTGGCTGATGCAGCTGAGTTATCCTGGTGATCTACACTGCTCTGGGCTTTGGCAGAGATGGTGGCTCCTGGTTTCTGTGAAAGCCAGTGAAGCCCCATTGTCCTTTGCCACTGGGACTAGATAGTCTAGCTCATGCTTCTCTGCCTTTTCAGATCCCTCAGAGAGGTTCGGAATAGGTTGTAGTTCTTGCTGACCCTTGGACCTTTGCCAGACTTGCAGCTGTGGCGAATGGCTCTGCGTCCTCATTTGAGGTCACAGCTTCTCTTGGCTCTGTGCCCAAGTATTCTGATCCCCCTAGTTCCTTTCCCCACAATTTCTGAGCTCACGTGTAGTGCCCAGGTGAGACAATACATGTTACTCATACAGTGCCCAGCATCCACAGTTGGCTGACTAAATGCTGCCCGCATGGTAGTAGTATCCATATAGAGCGGCTGATGTAGCTCAGTCCCTGGTGGGTACAATACCCAGTGCAAGTTCCAACTTAAATACGAGCTTGCACTTTCCACACTCCCTCCCCTCACCTCCCCTTTGCATTACTGTCACCATGGCCCAACACAGTGGGGAGTTTTGCCTTCCTCTGCAGGGCTGGGGGACATACTTCTCTTCCTTGGAGCTCTCAAATGTATTTCAACAACCTTTGCAGTGGTGGGACACTGATAGCCCTTGTCTCCCTCCTTGACTTGTGGGGGGTTCAGGTGCTCTTGCTGGGTTTTTTGAGGACATATACTGTGTAATTGTGTGACTGGGTTGATTGCATAGTTTTAGAAATAGGGAGACAAGCACTTGTATGGGATAAGGCAGGATCATCCCTATCCAGATTGAGCAGGGGATTGGACTAGAAGATTCCCTCATGTCCCATTGCAGCCCTGCACTTTCCAATGATTCTGTGATTCTAAGGTTCAAAACAGTGGTATTGGCCAGAAACACCAACCAAGTATATCCAAATGTCAGCATCATTTTGGGGCTGGTCAGTATCTCAAGGGCCAGGAAGTCGCAATGAATCCAGAATCTGTTTCCTCTATGATATATTAAATACACTGAGACTCTTTCTTTTATGACCCTGGGTGAGAATTTATCTGACTGATACACAAGCCAGAAGCTTGCAAGGTTCCCATCTGCAGAAGGTCTTGACCTAGAGTCTCTGGTTTCTGTTTGTTTTGCACATAAATTGTCTGGGTCCATGTACCTGTCTCTTCCTTGTACAGACTCAGTATGCTGCATAAAGTCTTCTATTAAGGCTACAAAAACAGATAAAACCACAGAGGATCACTGGAGACTTGTTAAGGTTGTCTTTTCTTCTCAGGCTGGTGGGAGTTTGCAGAGTGGTTTCTGGGAAGCCAGCCAAATTGCAATTCAGATGAGTTCTGCTGAGGGGAAAACTATTTGGGATGTAGGTTTTGAACTGGGGTGAACTTTGGCCTAAAAGCTCTTCAGAGAAAATTGAGCCAGGAATATTTGATATAACTGAAATTGTGGGAGCACAGGTTTCTGCTGTTCTAATTATAACAGAGGGCATAGATTTCAGTTGGGCTGGTAGCAGAGGGACAGGGACTAGGAAGGTGAGATGTAAAAAGGATCTGAGATCCTGGATAAAACTGGGCAGACAAGACTTCTCTGTTCAGCAAGGGTTTTTAAGATTGTGTCTTTCAGGATCAGTGGGGGGAAGGGGCAAAATGTTCAGAGTCAAAATCTGAAAAAATGTTCACGAGTCAGTGACTATCCCCTCCACTCCCCCTAAAAAAATGCATTTTTAGAACTAATCAAGCACAATGTTTCAGTTTGGATGAGGTCCAGAAAAGTTCTTATATGCCTAAAGTGCAACTTAAGGAGAACTTTAGGTGCCTGAGTCCAAGCGAACTATCTACAAAGCCATCTGAGAGGCCATAAATAGCTAAGTTTCCACCAGTACAACAACACAGGCACCCATATTTCTGCTAGTGCATGTAACCAGGCATGCTGTTGTCTTGGTAGAGTGGAGATCTTGGTGCCCATCCCACACACAAACCCAGTTGAGATTTGCAAACTAGGCATCCCTGAGAGGCCCAAGCAGGCGGGCATGCTTGGAGTGCACCTAACCCACACTGACAGCGTGGAATTCAGCACAAAACACATACTATGGCCACTTCCATTAAAAAATCATTTAAAAAAAGGGGGGGGGGGGCAGGGGGAGGCAGAGGCAGTAGTGGTGCCAGTCAGTGCCCACCTCTATCTGAGTGGTTAGAACACATGCTCAGAAGGAAATGCTCATCTTTGAAAGGAAGGGCGCTCTCCACATGACAGACCTGCCCATGAGGTGTGACACTGCTTTCATCCTGTCCCACAGCTGCTGGGGACACGCTCTATTAAGTTGCCACACTGGTGGAGGTGTTGCTTCCGCAGGAAAGGAGATGGGTTTCTGTTCTGCCATTTTTCTGGCCACTGCTGGTAAAACCTCACTAGAAGCTAATGTAGCCAGTTTGATGTAAACTGAGAAAGCCAGGTCCTCTGGTTGTCTGAGAGCACTGGGCAATGGAAGGGTATTTGAGCACTGCAGGTCACAACAGGTCACACACACACAGAAATAACATGTGGCAACCACAGTGACCACTGTGCAACCGTTTCCCATTTTCCAGGTTGCCAGCAGCTTTCTGGAATTTTTCTAATATTTTTTTAATCAACACGTTTACTTAAAATATTTGACTGAATGTTTGTTTCATTTACAAACTTCAATATGCATCTTGATCTCCCTTTGTTTTTAATTAAAAACAACAAGATAATAAAAACAGCCTGAATATTTTATCCATAATAACTTTAAAGTCAATCTTTTTTTTTTAAGGGTTTCTTAAAATAAAACCATGTTTTGATTGACAAGTTTTTTGTTCCAAAAGTTTCAGCCAAGCCGACCGGGAACTGGGACCTGGCCCAAGGCCTGTCCCTCACACCCAGAGGAGCCATTCCAAGATTAAAAGATACGACTTGTGTGGATGAGAGCAACAGAAAAAACAGCAGTGGTGGGACCTTCCAAATTGGTGGGGCCCGCTTTTTCAGGGGGCCCTGGGTCTTGGTCCTGTGGACTCATGTATTAATCTACCCCAGCCCCCAGGAGAGCCAAGCCAGTCTCACTCATCACAGCTGCACCAGGGCTCCTTGCCATCTATTTGCAAAGAATAATGATCCCCCTTTGCCCATCTCTGCCCCCTCCCAACCGGGGTTCCCACAGCACTTTGTAACAGTTGCTAAGGGCCTGGGAAGTCCCTACAGAGGCAGAATTAGCCCCTGGGGATTGCCTCTGGTGAAACCAGAGCTGCCCCCTTGTCCCACCTGCTTCATATTCTAACTCTCAGCCTCCCCACTCTAGATGAGGCCTTCATGGCCCTCTGGGAACCTGTGGTCTGCAACACGTGCACTTTTGCAGTGTGCATTAATCATCCCCAGCATTCCTGCTGCCCCAGTATCCATCATTTGTAAACCTAGGTCCTGGAGTTCATTCATGCCCTGGGATCTGGGGCTGAGTCTGCTTTCCTTGCTTTCCACAGAAGCCGCTGTCCCACGGGAGCACATCGTCCATGGGTAGCACCGTAGATTACAAGCCACCAGTAGTTGAGGTGGAGGAGGTTGTGGAGGAGGCTGCAGAGGGCACCGAGCCTGAAAACTGCTTCACCGAGGGTAAGAGGCCAAGTGGCCGCCCAGTGACACCGTCGTATGGGCAGGAGCAACTTGAGGGTCTGCAGAGCACTAGCTGTGACTGCCAACCACAACCCAGTGGGCCCCTAAACTGGCAGAGGCTCCGCGTAGACAGAATGCCCCAAACTCCCACAGTCTCCAGGGGTCACACCCCAACCCTTACAGGATCCCAGCAACAAACTCCACTTCCCTATGGGGTCTCCCTAGATTCCCATCCCCAAACTTATGCATTGTCCCTGGGATCCCCTCCCCAAACCTACACAACTCACTCAGGAGCCAACCCCAACCCGTTACAGCACCTTAGCACCCAGCTCCTAGAGCTCCCTCATATATGTGTCCCCCCCACCCAAAAAAAAAAAATTTCCACAGCTACTTACCACAGGATCCTTCCCACAAGGGCCCCAAAAGGCCAGTACTTCCCAGATGTGCCCTATCAGGCTGCCACTCCTCTTCCCCAGGTGGCATCGCCTGCTGCATTTACAGCCTTCTCTGCAAGAGGCGTGCACCATGGCTAGGGCTAGTCAGGTGCTGATGGGGGAATGCAGGGGCCCATGCGGGCTCATTGGGAAGCACCACAGTGTGCGTGGGGAGGAGAAAGAAAAAGACACCTTGGGGTTGTGGAGGAAGAGCAAAGGAAGAGGCAGAGATGGAGGGGCTGTGGTGAGGGGGTGGCGAGAGCAGCGAGACAGAGCTATGGTGTACCAGGGACAGGAGGAAGTGTCTGGTGTGAGAGCAGGGATAGAGGGCCTGGTGTGAAGTAAACAGAAGGGACTAGATGGCTTTGCAGAGAGGAAGAGGGGACTGGTGTGAAGATGGGTGGGGGTGAAGGAGAAAGAAGGGGCTGGTGTTGGGGAGGAGGACAAGAGATCTATTTTAGGGCTGAAAGAGAGGAACCCTTCCCTTGTGGAAAGGAAGGTCCTGCTCTCAAGTACCCCCGACCACCAGCATAACTGGGGGGAGGAGGGGGACAACCAAGGCAACAGCTCCAGCAGTCACTTCTGTGGGAGAACGGCAGACAGTGCAAAAATGGCCTCCATTGCAGCAGTGGTTCACTGTGCCACCACAACTGGTACGTCAACAGCTGGCGCTGCCCACAGTATCACAGCTGCCCTGCTACGTGTCTGCTACTGACAGTGAGGGGGAAGCATAAGACCTGGCTTGGCCTTGTCTCCTGCTTGGAAGGGTCCTAGAAAGGGCATGGGGATGAGGACTTCTCCAGGCTGGATTGTGTTGGCCCCCACTCGGCCCAGCCCTGCCCAGTTGGTGGCTGCACTGAGCACCCCCAGGCCTGCCAGCAGAACAGGGCTTCTGGCTGGCTAGCTTGCTCCACAGGACTCCTATGCTGGGCCGGCTTCCTGCTTCCTATGTGTTATAAGATGTCTAGCCCAAGGTTGGGAGTTAGCATGTGCCTCTGTGCTTCCCTTCTCCAGCTTGTGTGCAGAGGTTTCCCTTCCTTTATGTCGACATCACAACTGACAAAGGGAAAATATGGTGGAACCTTCGGAAAACCTGCTTCAAGATCGTTGAACACAACTGGTTTGAGACCTTCATCATCTTTATGATCCTCCTCAGCAGCGGAGCACTGGTAGGTTCCAGGGTTTGTTCCATCACTGAAGACTGCACCCTGCGTGCACTCCACCAGGCCCCTCCGTTCTGCGGCATGCTACTGTACTGCAGTGGCTCCAGGTGTCTCTGAAAGAGGGGAAGACTTGTATTGCTGTATGTCTAAAGTACAGTATTTCTGACCTCATTTAAATGGCCGTGAGGATAGAGGACCAGATTGTGGGAGTCAGTTTGGGATTGCGAGATGAGCACTGCACTTGTAACCAGGGATGTTCTGGTTTCATTGACAGCAACATGGTCAATAGTGGGCACATCTACATGAGACATTTACTGCAGAGCTGTCTAATTAGCTCTGCAGTAAATGTCTCAGGGTACTTGTACATGTGACAGGGGCTTAATCCCCAAGGTTTTATTCTGTGCTCCCTAAATTGAAACAGTGGGCATAGAATAAAACCCTGAGGACTAAAGTGTTTCACTTTGTCCATCGCGTTACAGTGAGGGGCCCAATCCTTTGTTGTTTTTTTGTCAGAACTAGAACCTGCCCACAGCCAGGCCATGAGCTGCCAATGGGCTGACTGGCCCCTGAGTTGCGGGGGCCCCAGACCTTCTTTCCATGGTGGTGGTGCCCTCTGGGACCAGCCAGGCATACTGCCAGCAGACTAGGTGCTGCCCCAGCTCACAGGGGCATGATTCAACTTCCCCATGAGCCCATCTGGGCTCCCAGCACCTCGTGAGCCACCTGCAACACCTTCTACCACCCTCAGCACCCCCAGCAACCCTCCTGCCAGCCCCACACAGTGACCCCTGGGGCAAGCCAGCCCATTCGTGGATGGCCCCCAGCATCCTGCCAGCCGCAGCAACCTGCTACAAGCACAAGCGGTACGGGGCCCAATCCTCCTTCTGGTGAAGAGGGGCGAGCTGCCAGTGGTGCTGAGCAGCCCCTGAACTGCAGGGTGTCCCAGTCCTTCCCCCTATGGTGGTGGCACCCCTGGGACTGGCTGAGCAGGGTGCTGTCCCAGCTCAGAGGCAGCACCCAGCCAGATCCAACTCTTCCCTAAACCTGCTGGGGCTTCCAGCACCCTGTACATCACCCTCTCCACCTTCTCTGGCCTCCAGCACACCCAGCTCCCTTCCCACCACCTCCCCGTGCTGCCCCAGAAGAGACCTCATGAGATCATTGGGTCCACCCCCCCTCCAAGCTGGGGCAGCATCCGGTCCACTAGCAGCCCACCCAGGCAGCCCCAAGGGGCCCCACAGCTCAGGAGCTGCTCAGCCTGCCAGCAACTCCCCGCCAGCCTCAGGAAGAGGTAAGCAGGCTCCACAAAAAAAGGATCAGGCCCCTCGCCACTTCTGCCTTCAACAGGCACCTGCCTGCTGAAGGAAGAAGAAGCAACGGGCCCAATTCTTTTTTTGGCAGAGCCTGCCCGCCTCTTCCACAGTGGGTGGGGGGAGGGAGGGTGAGCTATCAGATTAAAGGCTGCAATGTTACAAGTAGCAACGCTGCAAACTAAACTACATGGGGATGTGGTTGAAACTCATTTGAAACTTCAAACCTTGCACATGTGTAATGTGTGACACTATTAAGCCACACAAAGGACCTTTTTGTCACTTGTACGTGGTGGCAGTCATCATGTGTACAAGTGCTTTCAGTGTCTACATGTGCAGCCCTATTAGGCTGCAATAAACTCCACTGTAGATTAGTACTTGTAAACAAAAGTACTAACCTACAGCAGCATTATTTAGTGTACAGCAATGCACACATAGACGCTGATGTGGCAGAAGCAGGGATGCAGCACAGACATACTATCAGGGTCCTAAGTACCTGAATCTCTTTTTGGAAACTGGACTAAAGCAACTAAGTCTTAGTCACTGTCAAAAATCTTTACCCTAAGATTAGCAGAGCGTAAGTTCTCCATATCCATATAACATGGGTTTATATTTGGAACAGAACTCTGTACACATCTACACATGCACCTACACATTTATTACCAGTATTTACAGGTAGTAACTAACTCCACAGTAAACTAATTTGCTGCACAGTAAATGTGCACACATACAGACAGTGACACTTTACTGCACAGTAGATTAGTGTGTTAAAGTGTTAGCGCAGTAAAGCATCTCATGTAGACACATCCACTGTCACTGAAATTCTTTTATCCTAGGGGCAGGGTTTAAAAGGCAGCTAGGTGCTCAAAGATGCAGATAGACATCTGGTAGGATTTTCCAAAGTGCTTAATTCCCCTTGAAATCACTGGGAATTGTATGCCCAGGTATTTTGGGAGGCCCTGTTAGGCCAGACTGTCTGTCCTGAAGTGCCTAAACACCTTTGAAAATCTACCCACCCCAGGTCATTTTTAAAAATGGGACTTAGGCTCTTAAGTCACTTGAGTGCTTTTGCACATTTTACATTTGGCCTTTAAGTCCACCTGTGCCTCCTAATGTAGCCAGAGGTGAAGGCACACCCCTGGCTGCTGCTGTTCCATTCCATAGTATCTGGGATGTGCAGCACATCTCATGGAAGAATGATTGTCATGTAGCTCCACACCTCTTCCAGGCTTTTGAAGACATCTATATCGAGCAGCGCAAAGTCATACGTACCATCCTGGAATATGCTGACAAGGTCTTCTCCTTTGTCTTCGTCATTGAGATGCTGCTCAAGTGGGTGGCCTATGGCTTCAAAGTGTATTTCACCAATGCCTGGTGCTGGCTGGATTTTCTCATTGTTGATGTAAGTTTGCTTGGCTGGTAGCTCTAGAACCAGATTGCTTTTAGTTCACCAAAGAATGCGAACAGCTATGAGTGTCAATGATTTATATACAGGGCCAGATTAATGCATAGGCAAACTAGGCACATACCTAGGGCCCTGAGCTGTGGTCCTTCCCTCCATGGCGGTGGCATGAATGGCTTTATCCACCTCCCTTCCCTTCCCTACTATGAGTCTCACCACCACAGCAGCTGCTTCCTAGCGGCGACTCCAAACTCTGCTTCTTGCGAGCGGCAGTGTTGGGGTGGGGAGGTGGGTTTCAACCGGCCCAGGGCCCATGAGATTTTTGCCTAAAGCCCACTACAGGGTTAATCTGGCCCATTTATATAGGCAAAAGGACACCTTTGGAGCAAGGATTCTCTAACACACCAGAATAAAGACATCCCTTGCATAAAAGGCCAAAGGGGTCTGTAATGGCAGGATCCCCCTTTCCCTGCAGCTTCCCATGGACTCACCAGCCCAGGAGGTTCTCACAAAAACTGAAAATGGGAACTGCAGCTGCCTCCCACAGCATTCATCTCTGGGGCTTCTGATGAGATCAGGAAGATCCAGAATCTGGCCTTTTTAGGGCACATTTTACAACCTTCCTCTATGAAAAGCCTTTTGCCATGAGAATGATGCAGACATCACTGAAACACCCCATCACTGGACCAAAGTACTGACACCCCTTCTACTCTAAGATCCAAGCAATGATACCCACTTTTAACCCCAAGTCCCCAGCGAAAGAGATTAATACTAGTAAGCTCAGTCACTTTATTCTATGTGCTCAATACCCATCACTATGGTATTTGAACACCCCTAAGATAGGGCAATGTTGTTATTTCCATAGGAAACTGAGGTGCAAAGAGACCAAATAACCTGCCCAAGGTCATGCAGGGAGTCTGCGGGAACAAGAAACTCGACTCAGATTTCTCATGTCCTATGCTAGCACCATAACCACTGAGACTTTTTGTGCAGAGGCAATACTCCCATTTCCCTCTGGAAGAATGATCCCATGTGAGGCACCTCAGAGGTTGGGGAATTAATTACAGACTTAAAGACAGAAGAGAGCACACTTTCCCTCTGATCTTGGTTTTGTTTCTGTTCTACACAATGATAATTGCTTTGTGTTTCTCCAAGGTTTCCATTATCAGCTTGACAGCAAACTGGTTGGGATACTCAGAACTGGGAGCCATCAAGTCACTGAGGACTCTGAGAGCTTTGAGACCTTTGCGAGCTCTGTCCAGATTTGAAGGCATGAGGGTAGGTCTTTCTCTATGTCTCTTGGTTGCTCTGAGAAGGGGAGCATGACCTTTGAGTCATTGTTGCCTGTTAGAAAACTAGCAGTTCTGGAATTAATCTTGTAAATGGGAAAGGAATCAATCTCTAGCCAAAAGTACAGTCTGCCATGGGGCTTCTGCCCAGAGACAGCTTTCCAGCAGGGATCCCCAGCTTTGCAAAGCCTAAGTCTTCAAAAATCATCAGGTTGGCTTTAACATTTGAATAGATAATAACACGGGGGAGATTTCCTTAACAGGTCTTCGAGCCATTAGTGACCACATGTTTATGCTTTTCTCTGCTTCCCCAAGGGCTAGAAGTTTTGCTGTATTAATGAAAGCTGAGGTGCTCACATATCATCTGACTCCAGGAACCCAGTGCTTTTACAACACTGCCAAGTATCCTGAGACCTGCAATTAATTTGCAAGAGCTGGCTACAAAAGTTCCCCTACCAGCCCAAAGGAAATGTATTTTATTGATGTCTGACATACACAACTTCCTGCCTGGCTTGGGGAAGCCCAGAAGTATGTGCCTACACAGAGACAGAAGGAGGGATTTGGGGAGATCACAAAAAGCTCAACTGCTGCAAACTGTACCACATAGACTTGGAGCCATCTTCAGCTAGTGTTTGTTTTGTGTGAAAAAACACAGCACTAGTGAGACGTTCTCCTCACTGCTTCATTCTCTGAATCCCACCTGGTCTAGTGAGAGATGAGAGACACCAGTGCCCTCAAAGGGCCACCCCCCATCTGGCACATGCCAAGTTTCCTTTCCTGGTGCTGTCTGCTCTGCAGCACCAGACTAATTGCTGGTAGTGCTGTGGAGGTCTAACCCTGTGGGCATGGTGGCTGATGCAGCAGGGTAGTAGGGGAATAGGCTTGCTCTCCTTCTTTCTGGGAAGTTCCCAACATGGTGTATCTGGGTGAGGAAATGCAGTGCATCTGTTGGCAGAAGTGCATCTGTTCAGCATCTGTTGGCGGAGCTTATTGTGCATGGGTCATTCCTAGACCATGGGCTAATCATGGAGGCTCTTAACCTAGTCCATTCCTGAGGGTATTGAGAGGTTCACAGGCTTTGCAATATGAGAGGCAAGGGCCAGTAGTCCACAGCCTCCTGCTGCTGCTGCTATTCATCCTCTTTCTTGAGGAGCACAGAGCCCAGCGACCACCTGAGACCCACACCAGGGGCGCCTTGCACACTCTGGGAGTCCTTTCACTTCCATACCAGGAGCTGGGCAGAGGAGGGTTCTGGGAAGGAAGGCTGGGCTGCTACAGGGAGAGCTGAGAGACAGAGGCAGAACTGATTTGGTTCCTGTCCCTCAGCCCAGATGAAAGACCTACAGACAGCCAAGATGGAGCACTGAACCTACACAAGAGCCAGCTGTCAGATAAGCTAGCAGGTATGCTAGAACACCCCTGGGAATATGGGGAAACCTCATGCCCCGCTTGAGCAGCATTTCTATTCACACAGCTCCTTCAGCAGTGCTGTCCCCTGTGCAGCTAAGACTTAGAGATCCACTTCGGGTAGATAGTGTCCCATTGCTCAAGTAATGTCCTCATATGCCAGGCTTAGCTCCAGTGCCTAGTCATGAAGAATCTCTCATGTGAAGGAACAACAGAAAATAGAATTTATAAGGCAGTAGCCCAGCCAGGTGACCATAACCAGGTATGTCTGCCTTTGGATTGGAACTGTCTCTAGTTCTTTCATGCCATTCATCCACACTGCAGGTCTTGCATCCAGGCACAGCCCTGCCATGAGAAACACTTAGCTGTACCCCACCCCCCTTAACTACCTTCTCCATGACAGCCCTTCTCCTGTCTCTCCTCTCATCACAGGTAGTAGTAAATGCCCTGCTGGGAGCCATCCCCTCCATTATGAATGTCTTGCTGGTCTGTCTGATCTTCTGGCTGATATTCAGCATCATGGGTGTGAACCTGTTTGCAGGGAAGTACTACCGGTGCATCAACACCACCACAGACGAGCTCTTTGATATCGAAGTGGTGAATAATAAAAGTGACTGCTTGGCCCTCCTTGATACCAACCAGGTCCGATGGGTGAATGTCAAGGTCAACTTTGACAATGTTGGGTTAGGCTACCTCTCCCTGCTGCAGGTGGTGAGTATGCCAAGACGTGACAGTTCTTTCCCTTCATAGTTTCATAGCAGGTAGGGTCGGAAGGGACCTAAGCAGATCATCTAGTCTGACCCCCTGCCATGGGCAGGAAAGGATGCTGGGGTCAAATGACCCCAGCTAGGTGGCTGTCTAGCCTCCTTTTGAAGACCCCCAGGGTAGGAGCCAGCACCACTTCCCTTGGAAGTTGGTTCCAGATCCTAGCCACCTTGACAGTAAAATAGCACCTCCTGATATCTAGCCTGAATCTACTCTCAGTCAACTTATGGCCGTTGTTCCTTGTTACCCCCGGTAGTGCTCAGGGGAGCGGGGACTCTCCCACTGCCTGCTGGCCCCCCTTGGCAAGTTTATAGGCAGCTACTAGATCCCCCCTCAGCCTTCTCTTGTGGAGGCTGAACAGGTT